GATGCACTATTTGCACAGCACTCAAACCTGGGGCTCAGGGTTCGAGGTGAGCTTGCAGCAGGGTCCCTGGCCTGATAACTTGTTATTCTCCGTGGCTGTTTGGCCATCTCTAAAACACAAACCATGACGCCTCCTTTGGAAGTTTCATGTAGATTAAATGAGGTTATGCATGTAAAATGTCCTTGATCAAAATCCTCTGGTCCTGATTAACAATCGAGGCCATGGGCGGGGACCTAGCTTTTTCTTCGGTATTGCTTCATGAGCATCTCCTCCCCCCTGTCGTGGGGACACTTTGCTGAGGTACCACCCCATTTATTGCTCTTCATCCCCCGTCTTGATTTTCAAACAATATTTTGAAAGCTAGCATCAGTGCCCAGTCCTCCTACTTGAGGCATTCAGGTCCAGCCTGCCCTTGGCTGCCCGTGTAACCAGGGTGCGGGTGGGCGTTTACCACGGTTGTGCTTACACCAGAGGACCGAGGGCCCAGAACAACATTTTTGTATTTACAGCATCCAAGAAAGTGGTCCAGCAGCGTAAGTCAGTGAGGGAATGACCCTGTTTCTTTGAGTGTGAGACCCCAAGTGTGAGCAGCTGTGTTTCATCAGGAAGCCTGTGAAAACAGTCATCAAGAAAGCATTTCCCCAGCCCGTGCCTGAAGCCCTGGGGTTTCTGTAGATGTCGCTGAGCGGCTGAGTGCGAGCTATAGTCTTTCCTGTCAGCAGCCTGTAGTGAGTATCTCAGGCCCTGTGCTGGGCAGCTTCTTATCTCTGCTGCTGGGCAGGAAGCAGTCTGGGGAGTCTGAGTGAGCTGGCACTGTTCCACCGAAATTTTACTTACAAAACAGGTGCAGGCTGGATCTGGCCTGCGGGCTCTACTCTGCCAAGTCAGGCTAGTATACACTTGAGAGGCTGGTGGGACTATCGGGAAAAACAAGGGAAATCACAGCTGGCCTGGAGGGGACCACACATCTGCCTCTTTCCAGTTCTGGGTTGGACTCGTCGACAAAGGGTCAAGAGCATTGGCTCATTGTCTTTTCATGAGAAGTCAGGAGAATGGTGTCTCCGAGGCCTCTGTGGGAAGAGATATTGGGGACAACTTCAAGTCCACTCAGGGCCAAAGCCGTTTGCTCGATTATTTGCTTGTTTGTTTTTGAGCATGGAGCCCACATGATAGAGGCGTGTGGTCTTGGGTAGGCGCTGTGGAGGTTGGTGCTGATCCTGGCTGTGGCTTTCACAGCTGAGCAACTGAGGGGAGCAGGTTAGGCTGGTCCAGCCAAAGTAAAGAGAAAGTAAATACCACACAGCATTGGAGGAGAGGCCTTGCGTTTTCACCTTAAAGAGAAGAGTAGGCTTGTTGGTGGGGAGGAATGTGACCGTGAGGCAAGTCTACCTACACAAGGCTTCACAATCTGCTCCTCAGCCAAGCTTTGTCACCCAGCCGCTTGGTACCAAACTATGTGGGGCAGGGAGTCAGAGAGCCGACTTCTCATTCCTGTAGGAGTTCACAATCAGGTAACGTGCAACAGGAAGAGGTGTGGACAGCATGCGAGCTGGGCAGCATGTCGATAGCCCTCCACATCCTCCAAACAAGGCAGGCTTCTCTGCCAGTCTCCGACTCTGTGCTACCCACCAAGATCCCAGCCCTCCTCCGCAGCTTGGCTTTCCATATCAGCATGGCCAGCTGTCTCGGCCTCCTCACAGGCTTCCTCTGAGCTCACCCATCCACCCTTCACTGACAAGAGTGTTTGAGTGAACACTCAATGCTGTGTCTAAGGGACAAAACTGCTGAGTTTATGACTTTTAAGACATACAAGGAGGATTTCTATGATATTCTCATGTTTATGGTTCATTAATATATAACTTATTACATTCAGAAACAAGAAAAATACTGCACAAGTATACTGCTCTGTTATGAGTAATTTTCCTGCTAGTCTGGACCCACTGTTGTTCCAGCCACAAATAACACACAGAGACTCTGTATTTGATATAAAGCTGTTGGCCTGTTACTAGTTTCTTATCGGCTAGCTCTTTCTTAAATAGTAACCCATTTCTATTAACCTAAATATTTCCACGTGGTCTCATCTTACCAGAGAGAGGCCCCGGCATTCATATCCCTCTGTCCTCCATCTTGAATCTCCTCCCTACTCCTTCCTTGAATCCTCCTTGTCTCCTAGTCCCGCCAATGATGCTTTATTTATTAACCAATAAGAGAAACATATTTACAGAATGACATCTCCCATCACTGCTCATTTTTTATTTTTAGTTCTGCTCTATTTTGTTTAAAAAAAAAAAAAAACCAAGTTCTTGGCTTGAGAGGTGGCTTAATGGTTAAGAACACTGACTGCTCTTGCAGAGGACCCAGGTTCAAGTCCCAGCACCCAGCTGGTGGCTCACAACTGTCTGTAACTCCAGTCCCAGAGGAGGTGATGCCCTCCTCTGCCCTCTGCGATACTGCATTTACTACAAATAAAAATAAATCTTAAAAATACAGGTTTAATGACTAGTTGCATTAGTGCACACGCCATTAATCCCAGCACTTGGGAGGCAGAGGCGGGAGGATTTCTGATGTTCAAGGACTACATAGGACAGCCAGGACTGCACAGAGAGACGCCGCCTCAAAAAACAACAGCAAGCAAGCAAGCAAACAAACAAAAATACAGGTTTGTTTTTTTACTGGTAGTAAAATTAATTTAGTAAACTTGATCCCTGTCTAAGGTTGTATCTGTCAGGGAGAGTGTTGCATGCTTGGTAAGGAATGTCACTTGTGGCACAATGCTAAGAAGGGAATTCTTGTTCCTATACAACTTTTGATGTTAGTGGTAGAATATTGTTTTAAGGTGTGTCACTTCTGTTTATGCTGCACTTGTTTAACTCTGTGAAGCTGTGTTACTTTGCCTGTCTAAAACACCTGATTTTCATTAAAGAGCTGAACAGCCAGTAGCAAGGCAGGAGAAAGGACAGGCAGGGCTGGCAGGCAGAGGGTATAAATAGGAGAAATGAGGCATGAGAAGATCAAGAGAATGCGAAGGAGGAGGACGTCAAAGGTCAGCCACCCAACCACCCAGCCACCCAGCCACCCAGCCACACAGCCACCCAGTCACACAGCCACCCAACCACCCAGCCACCCAGCCACCCAGCCACCCAGCCACCCAGCCACACAGCCACCCAGCCACACAGCCACACAGCCACACAGCCACCCAGCCACCCAGCCACCCAGCCACCCAACCACCCAGCCACCCAGCCACCCAGCCACACAGCCACCCAGTCACACAGCCACCCAGCCACCCAGCCACACAGCCACACAGCCACCCAGCCACCCAGCCACCCAGCCACACAGCCACCCAGCCACACAGCCACACAGCCACCCAGTCACACAGCCACACAGCCACCCAGTCACACAGCCACCCAGTCACACAGCCACACAGCCACCCAGCCACACAGCCACACAGCCACACAGCCACACAGCCACACAGCCACATAGCCACACAGCCACACAGCCACACAGCCACACAGCCACACAGCCACACAGCCACCCAGCCACCCAGCACACAGCCACACAGCCACATAGCCACCCAGCCACCCAGCCACACAGCCACATAGCCACCCAGCCACCCAGCCACACAGCCACACAGCAATCCACAGAGTAACATTTACAGAAGGGAACAGGAAAAGCCCAGGGGGAAAGCGTAGACAAGATAATATAAATTAGGGAAAGCTGGCAAGAAACAAGCCAAGCTAAGGTCAGACATTAATAATTAAAAATAAGTTTCCGTGTGTGATATGTATATATTTGGGGGCTGGGTGGTGGACCCCCCAAAGGCCAAGAACCAAAAGAGTGAAATATCATACCACATTAGCGTCCACTGCCAGTTACTGTGATGGTGCTTGCAAAAATGGTTTTGTTAATTTTGTCATTCTCCTGCACTCACTAGCCAGTAGTTTTCTTTACAAGTGAGCCTGCCTTGTACTTCCTGGAGTGTCCATAAGCTCCTGGATCTGATTCTTATTTAATATGGTCTATTACTGTATTTTGAAAGTAAGATTGATATTAAGGTAGAGGTTGCAAAGCTATACACAGTAAGTGTACAATTTGATCAACTTTACAGAGGGCATTGGAACTAGAGTTATAGAGGGTTGTGAGCTGCCATGTGGATGCTGGGAATTGAACATGGGTCCCTTTGCAAGAACAAGCACTCTTAACTACGGAGTCATCTCTCCAGCCCATGTTTTACCCTCTTTAACAGCAGAAACAGCCAGGTTCTTCTTTAAAACATCCTACTATAATAGTATTGCAGCAGACACCTTGGACATGTTCTTGCCCATGTAAATGAGCGTTTTAGCAGGCTTTCACTCTAGCAGGAATATTTTTTTTTAAAAATCAAACACTGTGCATATTTCCATCTTTTATTGGCTTCTCCACATCCCCTTCCTTCCCCAAAGCTATATTTATTCATTTCAATACTACTGGTTGGTTCAGCCTCATCAGGTCTGGATTTTGCCAGTCCCTGTGTGCATGATGGTGTGGAGTTTGAGTTTGGACTTAACCCTGTGCAAAGCAAATCCCAGTCTTTCCTTTCTGAGCCAGGGTCCCCAGCTTTGATTTGCATAAAAGTCAAATCTCTCCTTAACAGAGAAGTCCAAGGAGGATGGCATTCTGTGTCACATTCTTCATCACAGCCAGCTTTAGGCAGAGGGGAGGAAACCATACACCCAAGACTTCTGGTCCTTTTGGGCATCTTTTACATCCTAGTTTTCAGTTACCACTCTGCATCTGTATCCTTAAATGACCATCAGACGTCTGCACATCTGGGATAGCGGGCTTATTATTCTACCCGTGTGTTCTCTAGCAGGCCAGCTGACATTCATGGCCTTTCTACTTTTGTTTTGTTGTAAACATCAAGTCTTAAGATGAAATACCCATGCGGATGACTGTCAATTTTATTTTCCTCCCAGGTTCGTGAATTGGGGCAGCTGTTAGCAAGCATTCTCTTTCCTTCCTAGGTGTTTGAAGCTGTGATTTCATGGATCAATTATGAGAAGGAGACTCGCTTAGACCACATGGCGAAGCTGATGGAACATGTCCGGCTCCCTCTCTTACCCAGGGATTACCTGGTTCAGGTCGGTGTTTGCAGGAAGAGAGGTGTTTGCAGGCAGCTCTGGCTGTGTGGTGTGCCTGCAGCATGTCATGAGTCTCTGTGTGGATGGAGGGCATCGAGGCCCTGGGTTGAGTGTGAAGAGCTGTTGTGAGGACTAAGGACTGTGAGCATCCGGGCAGGCAGTGAGCACAGAGCCTGCAGCATGCTTTGTGTGAGCTGAGGTTCTTTCGGAAGGACAGAGGAAGAAGTGCCATTTCATAATGTCCCCGTGCTCCTCCTCTGCTGTGCTCTTAGGCAACCTGAGGTCCAGGTCAGGCTGGAAGAACTGGCTCTTCATAGATGCATAGAGTTCTACTTCCTCCCAGAGAAGAAGAAAAATTAAGAATTCTGGGGTACACTTGTGTTTTCTCATTTAGTTCATATAACAACCCTTTGAGACTTCTTGGTTGCAAGCCCCCCCTTTCTCCTTTGAATTATGGGTCTTGAAGCTTGGACACTAGGCTTGATCTGGGGGCTCTGTCCAGTACGAGGAGGTGATCTGGGGTCCCCAGCCAGCACGAGAGGGTCATGATTGAGATCCTTGCCCACTTGGCTCTGAAGCAGACATTCTGTGAGCCTCTGTCTTGCTTACACACAGGATGGCTTGTTTTGCACGGTAAATGGTGTTAGACTGTCTTGCAAACCTTCTAGATGTGTGGCTTTAACAATGGAGAGGCAGGTGGCCAGCCCGCAGAGGTTCCTGAGGGGGCCTCCAGTGACACTCTACCCTGGCCACCCACAGCCACACTTGACTGCTAGACCCTCAGTTCTCTTATCTGGTCAAAGTAACCCCAGCCCCAACGAGAGTGTGGGGACAAAAAGACAATCCATGTACAGCCCGTGACAGTGTTCAGTGAATGCTAGCTGATAATTTACGTCTGGGGCTACAGGTGCCGTGTACTTCACTTGTAAAGTCCTGTGTGTGCGTCCCTGTTGTTCAGGCCTAAGGGGCCAGTGACATTGCTGTCTCTGTGTGTCTTCTTGTGTGACACCTTTACAGGTACTTAGGAGTGTGCTGAAAGCCCCCAGAGTACTGCCACCTGGTGGCCACATGTCACCCCAACTCACCTGAGTTACCACTGTTACTGCCGCCCCGACTCTGTCCCCTGGAAACTGGCTGGTGCTGGTGGGGTGGCCTCCAGCACATAACTCAATTTCACAGTGAGGGTGGACGCCCAAGGGTCTGGGTTCCACAGAGAGCTAAGGAAGCTTCCGAGGCTACGCACCAGAAACTTATCAAAGACGTGACCTTATTCCGGTTATTGAAGGGAGGTCAGGTCTGCTATGGAAAGAGGATCACTGCCTAAGAGAGGTTATGTGGACCCTCCTTTAAAAAAGACTTTCATCAGGCCTCTTGAGGTCAACTCCTCTAGGAAAGGATGCTTCGTTAACATTATTTGACCTTGAAACTTAAGAACTTAACCTGATGGCGGTGCATGGAGGGGGGGGGAGACGACAGCAGTCTGCCCAGCACTCAACAGTGTGCGGCCTGCAGGCCTCTCAGTTGCAAACCATTACTCAGCTACCACAGGCATTTTAAAACGGCATTCAAACAGACACCGTGCTGTTGTTCTTCGACAAAAACAGCATACACCTCATGACTTTGACCATCTTTTAAACTTTGATCCTTCTTACTAAGTCTTTTGCTTTGTGTGTATGAATGAATGTCTTGCCTGCATGTGTGTCTGTGTACCACGTGTGTCCAGTGCTCATGGAGGCCAGAAGGGGTCACTGGATTCCCTAGAGTTGCAGACAGCTGTGAGCCACCTTGTGGGATGGAACCCAGATCCTCTGGAAGAGCAGCTGGTGCTTATCCCCTGAGCCACCTCTCCAGCCCCCATTCTGATCAATCTTAAGTGTACATCTTGGTGGTATTAACCCCGCCCCCCATCACCATCACCACGTGTATCTAAAGCCTGCTTATCACCCTGCACCGTAGGGAACATGAAAGCCGGCTCCCCAGGGGGAAGCCACAGCAGCTCTCTGGGCTCTGCTGCCTGAGCATTGCACCCTCCTTTCCCTTTTTCTTTAACCCTAGACCTTTATGATTTGTCCCAGCCCAGTTCCATCCCCTACTGGGAAAGCGGAAGAAACCCAGATTTTGTCTGGGAAAAGGAGGGTTCCGGAGGTGAAGGCCTTGTTTCTTCAATCCATGTTTCTCGCCAGCCCCAGAGCTGCCAGAAGATGATGGCCCTGGCCATATGTTTGTTCCTTAAGGAGGATGGGGCCAGGAGAGGCTTGGCCAGGCCTTCTTTGTACATACCTAGCTTGAGGGCTGAGTGAATTCAGCCTCTCCACCTGAGTTGCTCAGGTTAGAAGCCTTGTAGTGTTCATCGGTGTCTTCCTTGGGGCTAGCAGCTCAGAACTGAGCTATTGAGTCTGTACCTGTGACACACCCATTTCTATAGAGGAGGAAACTGAGGATCGGGGATTAGAAGTGGGACTCTGTGCACTAGCTTGTAACTCTTTGGCCTTTCTTGGAGTCTGGGATGGTGTGGTACAGAGGGTTGGATGATGACCCAGCCTGGGGAGAGGCTAGGGAAGCGTTGTCACACCCTGTGCTGGAGGGTCACCTGTGGGCTGTTGTCCCCAGACAGTCGAGGAGGAAGCTTTGATAAAGAACAACAACACCTGTAAGGACTTCCTCATCGAAGCCATGAAGTACCACCTACTGCCCCTTGACCAGAGGCTCTTGATCAGGAACCCCAGGACCAAACCCCGGACTCCCGTCAGCTTGCCCAAGGTAAGCCCGGGGGCCAGCCTCTGCCAGCCGAGACTCACGGCTGTCCAGGGGAAGAGGCCTTCCACCCCTCCCCAGTTCTTTCTGGCTCAGGGCTGCATTTATGGCCCGAGAGATGGCATCTGTCGGGTCCTCTCCCTGCCGGGAGCTTGCTTTGCTTAGACCTCCAAGGGGGCCGTGGCAGCCTCAGCGAGCTGTGAGCATAAGTGGGCGGCTCTCTTCCTCTTCTCACGCATGCGCGCTGTTCCAGGAGAAGCAGAGGGGTGGGTGCGCTGCATCGTGGGAGTCAGGACATTCCCAGCCTGATGCCTTTCCTCACCTTGGGAAGAGATATGAAGGACAGCTAGACTGACGGACAGTGGGCAGGGCAGGGAGCTGGGGAATGGGACCCTGTGAAGGAGGAGCTGCAGGAAGGAAGACGCTAGGGGACCCAGAGGTTCAGAGCAGTCAGTGCTGGGGGTGCTGAATGCTTGGTGCTCTCTCTCTCTCTCTCTCTCTCTCTCTCTCTCTCTCTCTCTCTCGTCTTCATGACGAGGGTGGGGTGGTCTCAGCCAACCCAGCGGGGAAAGGAGGCAGAATGAGTCACAGTAGCCAGTGACTACACAGCAGGGCGTTACCAAGAAAGTGTTGAGACTCCTTCTGTGTCACGATCCTCCTCCTCCTCACCCCGTTCCTCCTCTTCTCAGCTAACTATTGCCCTCTTCCTTGCCTGCTCTTCCCAAGGTTTCACAGAGCTGGAGAAACAGGTCATTGTCCAGCACTAACCACTTGGCTTCTCTTCTCTGAGACTGGCAGCCCCCACACCCCTCTGGGTCGCGCAGGGTGTGGGAGATGCGGTGCGGTGTGCGCATGTGTCACAGACCCTTCAACGAGTGGGAAGCAGCTTGGTCCTTATGCAGTTCCTGTCTTAGTTATGGGTCACCATTGCTGTGATGAAACACGGTGACCAACTACAACGGGGGAGGAGGGGTTTGTTCGGCTCACACCTCCACGTCACTGTTTGTCACTGAAGGGAGTCAGGACAGGAACTCAAGCAGGGCAGGAAGCTGGAGGCAGGAGCTGACGCAGAGGCCGTGGTGGAGGGTGCTGCTCACTGGCTTGCTCCCCACGGCTTGCTCAGCCTGCTTTCTTACAGACCCCAGGGCCACCAGCCCAGGAATGGCAGCACTCATAATGGGCTGCCCCGCCTGTCCCCATCAATCTCTAATCCAGAAAATGACCCACAGGCTTGCCTGCAGCCCAGTCTTTTCTCAATTGAGGTCCCCTCCTCCCAGATGACTTCAGGTGACATAAACTTGCCAGCACTGGTGTGTTTCATGTAAAAGTCTCCACAACCCTGAACACCGGTCCTTACAGAACCCGAGTTCTACCAAGGAAACTGAGGTTGCAGAAGTTCAATGACTTGTCCAAGTGTCAGCACAGCCGTTGTGGTGGCCCCCTGGGCCATCCTCACCCAGATCTGCTCTCTGAATCACACCTGATCTTGTGCAAACTTGTGCAAACCTGGGTGTGCTTGCTGGCAGCACTTGTCACCCCATGTCCCCTCAGAAGGTGCAAGAACAGGGTTAGAGATTCGGTCTTCCTGGCCATCTGACCCTCAATGTCTTTTTTTGAAACATTGATCTGAAACTTATTTTTATTACATTTAATTTCTCTCTCTCTCTCTCTCCCTCTCCTCCCCTGCATATCTGTGTTTGTGTGTGTGCATGCATGTGTGCGTGGACCATGGGTGGGAGTTCGTTCTCTCCTTCCTGGGACCCTGGGATTGAACTCCAGGTGTTAAGCTTGGTGGCAAGTACCTCTACCCACTGAGCCATCTTGCTGGCCCATCTTGTATTTTTAAAATGAAGACATTTATCTTTCTTTAATTATAGAAACATAAATTTATTGCAGATTAGTAAGAAAACACACAACTTAGGAGTGAAGTATAAGTTACTGCGGCCACTGCTCAGCCGAGTTTGCTTTCCAGAAACTTCTCTGTACATTTATTCATGAATAACTGAAAACGTGCATTTGCACGTATGTGGGATCTTCTGAACGGACTGAAATATGTCTTTCTGCCCCCACGCAACCAAAGGCTACCAACTGCTTCTACCATAACAAGTATGGGTGAAGTCGGCCTTTGGATCCTAAGGGACGTAAGGGGCTCACAGTACTTGGTGTGGTCTGTGTCCTGTGTCCCTCGAAGGCCTCAGCTGGTAGTCTTTGAAATCATTTCTATTTTTGTACTGCAAGCATATCTGTGTCAAGTATTTTTTACTAAAGGACATATTTTTGTTGTGTCTCTCTAACCTAAGTGATATTGATCTTGGTTTCATGTCTTCATTTGTATTTCTTTTGGGGAGAATTCTCTGTGTCCTTTGTCCCTGTGTCTAACAGAGTGTCCATTTTCATCGGTAGATCTTACGGGCCTTTTCTATATTAAATGCATTAGGCCTTTGTATGTGTCCATTTTCTTAGTTTGCAGTTTTCTTTTTAAGCTCTTTATGATATTTTCTCCCAGCCCATGCTTGTCTCTTTGTTTTCTCAGTAGTATCTTTGGAAGACTGGGCTTTATAAAAATTAGTTCTTTCAGTTGACGAGAAAATAGTATATGTTTATCGTGTACAGTCTGAATAAAAATATTTTAAAGTGTGTTTACATGGTAGAATGGCAAAACTGAGCAAGCCAACAAGTATTATGGCCATATAAATTTTCGACAGTGTAACATTGTATCAACTGTGGGCACCATGCTGCAGGGCAGAGCTCTGGAATTAGCCTTTCTACATGTAACAGAAGCTTTGTACCCTTCAATTAACGGCTCTCTATGGCCCCCCCCCCCCCCCGCCTCTTGTAACACTGTGACTGTCTCTGAGCTTGCTTGTTTTGGACTGTGCACGCAGCTGAGAGCTGTCCTGTGCCTGGGTTATCTTAGTGTTAAGCCCTCTGGCTTTAAACATGTTGCAAATGACAAGATTTCCTTCCTTTTTCAGGCTGAATACTGCTCCACCACACTGGGTCCCACTTTCTGTTTGTCCCATCATGACAGACAGGTTGAGGCTGAGCTTAGCCACAGTGGCAAGGCTGTAGTCTACATCACAGTGGCTGTGTCTTCTTGACAAATTGACTTCATGTTCTTTGAATATATATGTGGCAGTGAGATGGATGGATCATATGTCAGAACTATTTTTAACTTTCCGAGGAGCCTTCATACTGTCTTCCGAAGTATGCTCGGAATAGCAGGTGCCTGGAGGTTTCAAATTTGTCCCTTTGTGATTTATTTTGAGTTTAAGCTGAAAACAAACAACCCCTCCCCGAACTTGTACTCCCTTCTGTTTGAAGCTTCACATTTAAACCCATGGCACCTCTTCAGGGGGTTAAAGAGATATGAAGTAAGGGTCACGTTTCATTTGTATGAATATATGTTTGTAGCATGCCACGGGTCGGAAGGCCCCTCCCCCTGCAGGACTTGCCTCTTTAGCTGTAAGTAGTTGACTGCACATGTCCTGGGCTGTTTCTGGGTTTATACTCTGCATCTTGCATCATCTGTCTGTCCTATACAAGTCACATTGCCTTGCTCGGTTTTGTTCTTGGGTGTGGTTTCTGCTAATTTCAGAGCCCGTTCATATTCCCTGGGGTTGAAGCCCATCCTTAGGCCAATGGGGGGATTATCTAACAGTCTGCCACATGTCTGTCCCTGTTTATTTGGCTCAGTGACCTCTCCCAGTGTTTTCTGTTGTCCACCTATGGCCTTTGCCTGCTTGTCATCAAATTTATTTAACAACATCTTTGTTTTGATACAATTATAAATGCTCTTTTCTTCTGGCAGTGCTGGGACTCGATCCTAGGGCCTCACACAAGCACTCTACCACTGTTACAGAATTAACGCTGACCATTCATACAACAATGTTTCTGTCTAAAACTGACTTTTTAGATGGGGAAGGGCATTCAATGGCTGTGCTGGTGGTGTAAATGTTGGTCTGTAAAGGACAGGGGCGTTGGTTTCGGGAGCATGTGTGCACCTCAGGTTGAGTCTTTGACAGCTATTTAGGGTTCCCCTCTGCAGCGCGCATTCTGCACTAAGCTGTACGCTCTGTGGCAGCAGGCATTATCCCCCGGTGTCCTTGGTACACAGTCCAGATCCTGGCACAGGGTGGCTGATAGTCGGGGTTCTCGTGAATGACAGGTATTTTTAAAGAAGTGAGGAAATAGGATTTAGCACCGACTGTTTCCTCTACCTCACTTGTTTCCCAAGCTCTTCGGCACCCACGCATGTGTTTCCGTGTGGGTATAGGGAGGATGTCCTCCTACTCTGTAGAATGCTTGGTGCAGCCCACAGAACCATTCATCACTGAGTGAACCTAGCCACCACCCCTGGGAGACCAGATCTCCGACCCCAGCCTGCACTTGGCTGTCACGTGAGAATCGATTCACCCAGTGCCCTTCCACAGCTGCCCAGCGCGGGCACAGGTTGTAGATGTGCAAACACTCACATCTGTCTGTCCTCCGAGAGACTCTCAGGTGAAGGGAGGGGACTCAGATGTGTGCGACAGTTACATAACGTAAGAGCCGACTGGAGGAATGCCCAAGATGCTCTTGCACCGTAGAATGGAATGAGAGAAGCTTTCTGCTGGGCTGGTACCCAAGCTGAGCACTCAGAGTAAATGTAAACTGTGGAGCTCCTGTCTGGACACCGCCCCCACTCCCTGATGGCAACTCGGGGGTGGGGTGGCATGGGGTGGGTACTTTGAATCTTGCTTCTTCTTGTGTCATTGTCCTTGCTATACAAGGCATCCACGGTGACACAGGATACCGCTCACATAACAGTTGCTAGGCAGACTCCCCGTGTTTTAGGCTGAGCGTTGTCCTTTTTTCTGTCCTTATAATGGGGCTGGACGCTTGTGGAGAACACTGAAGGTCAGCAGGGTTGAGTGATTCGCCCAGGGCTTTCCTGTCCATGGCAGCGCGAGGGATAGGAGTCCCTGCAGTGCTAACAGCAGCGGACCTCGGAACTGAGCAAAGGT